TCAAAGTCTATGAAGGAAGTTGAGGTAGAGGTTTGATTGCCATTCCATGCTTTGTTCTGTGATGATGATGCGTAGAGTTGCAATTCGGTCCGAACATGATTTGCCTTTCCTGAATCCAACTACCAATACTTCTGTGCAATGTGAAGAACAACCTACCGCATATGGCTATACTCTAATGTATTTCTTATCGAGTCACCTGTTCCTGTGGAGCTAGGAACATTATCCAACACAGCTGCAAAGAGGAGGCACCAGTTCAATTAGAAGCGGCATAATTGTAGACGCCTCGTCATCAACAATTGTCAAGGCATCTATCTATCTCTCAACTGACGTATTCATCATTCAGAGTCATTTACAAAGTGAACAAAAATCTCTACCAGAGGTAGTGTGTTTTCGACTTCTTTTCAAAGCAGAAGCCTTCGCCATATATGCATTGAAAAGCCGAAGTTATATTGTATTCAAAAGAAGCCAGTTCCACCTCTCTATTTAGCATGAATCAAGTTGGATTGCATTTCTTGGCTTTCGTGTTTTGTTTATCATTCCCTTAAATTTATCTTTATCTTCAGTTGAGGTTAGGTGTCGAGTGCTGGGTAAGAGGGTGGGGGAAATCAAACAATAACGTTGTGAAGGTGAATCGAGTGAGATGGTTAAGACATGTGTAGTTGTGACTATGAAATCTTTGACATTTGGTTTGACCAAGTCATGTAGGATGATGTGCGGCCTCCTGGTTGGGGTCCTTCAGGTGGTTAGTACGAATGGCTGGCGACAATTAGTGGTACTATGGCTAGAAATCGTTGTCATATAACCTAAGTGCATTCACTCTCTGTAATCTCTATTACATATCGATTCAATACTAATGTTTTCCGAGTTACTATTGTTCTTTCTCCCTCAGTTTTCTGTTCATTATAATCTTTTTGAGTGACTGACTGGTTTCAGCTTAGAAGTGCTTCGCACAGATGTGCAGCACTTCGAGTCACCACACTTCACTCAGCACACAAAGCCAGAGAAGAAGAAAGTAAAAAGAAAGGCAAAATACAGACAGTAAACAGAGATACGAGGCAAAAAGAATAGTAATATCGAAGAACCATATAGTTTTATTGGATATTATAAGTCACAAGGAGTGGATGCATCTGCGCCAGCTATTGAGAACGATTTTGAGCCATATCACCAATTGTATCCAGCCTTTGGTTGAGTAGCTTTCTTTCTCTCTCCCTCTGTGTTTTGTCTTGCTTTGTGTGGTGCATAAAGCGTGACAAGTTGAAGTCGTGCACTTTCTGTGCAAACCAGTCAGTCAATCAGTTACATTATGATTTAAAAAACTTACTATGAAATCAAATCTAGCTGAGCATTACCCCGACGAGGTTGCAGTGTGAAATAATTAATGATACCCGACCGAAAGCTGCTACCTTGACGTGGTGGTCGTGCTTGAACACCGTAATGACCCAACAAGCTATACTGGCTGGAACTTATGTTCCTGTAGGTCCTACCATGTCAGAAAGGTTGTTTGGATAGCGGTTAGACTAAAAGCAGTTACCCAATCCAATCCTATGACTCCAAATAAATCACAAAATATCATGCCGGATCGGTCGAGGCCCGGATTAACAACGACCGCGCTTTCTGCTGCCGTGTCACAGGGCAGAAGTGATAAATATGCTACTGAGACACACCAAATGAAAAACAACAAACAAAAACAGGCCGTGTGTGACCGGCCTCAAGCAGTTGTCCCCTGGGCTCTGCGGTCACGCAACCAACTTCCACGGTGTGGGCAGCTGGGAAGTAACAATCGCCCTCACAATCCGAAGTGCACGCCAAACCTCTCTAATCCTCACTCATCTTTGTCTTCATCTTCATCTCTATTATCTTGCCTTGCTTCTACTAATGCAACTCCTCTACTTAATGGCTCTTCACTTCCTCTTTACTCTGTGTGCACTGAAAACGATGGAAGCCAAGAAAAGAGTGATCTACTTAACAGATAGGTTCTCTTAGATCACCTGATTACGGCTGACACGACACCGACTTTCATTGAATTGACAATCTTTGAATCACTATCAGTCATTAGATCGATCAATGAATAACAGTCGACCAACTCTACAGACTCATATCAGATAGTTTCACTCACACTCAATTACTGACTCACTCACTGTCGAATAAATCAAAGTTGTCGTAAATTAGATGACGACCGTGAATCGAGCGTGTTTCACACCGGGATAAATCGATGAAGCAATAAAAGCCAATTTGTCTTTTTTTCCTTACATTCTATGTATGGTATTCGATAATAATCGTGTACAGCACACACACACACACACATACACACACATGCAATCAATCAATCAAGCAGCTGATTAGAAATGTGATCAAGAAAGGAGGACAGTAGAAAGAAACCACAATAAAACAGAAAAATATATATAACACGTTATTAGTCACGTGGTGGAAGGAACGCTAGAAAATCGTTACATGCATACGTGATTACTTCATACAATCCAATAATAATAATAATAATAATAATAATAATAATAATAATAATATCAGGTTGTAAGGCATAAAACAGAGATTTAACTGAAAACAATTAGAGGATTATTCAACCTAACTGATCTAAATTTATTTTCAAGTTTGATGCTGGATTAACATCAGTTCGAGAATTATTAGCAACTACGAGTGTTGGAAGGCTGTTTCATCCTTCCTAGAGACTCGTCAGCGGTGCGCACACAAACTTATAGGGGGTCGTAAATCAATAGACATTAGAATTCATTGAACTTCGTTCAAGCGGCTGAACTTTATAAAAAAGCTTGTATTGTAATTTGATGGCCCTGGCTTCAATCCCTTCCTGGTGGAGGTACTGCTGAAAAGTTGCAAAACTATGGGGAAGCAGCTCTTCAGTACTCTCTGGTTTTTAATGATTCTCAAACACAATCTTGGTATGTTATGAACGCAATGACAGATTCATCATAAAAAAAACAGACAAAACAGAATATATTGGACTGAAGTATGCGGATTGAGGAACAGTTTTGTGGAAACAGGCAAACACACTTATCAAGAGCATCCCGAATATAGCGTGCGTCATTTCATGTTACTTTCAGGAATACGGGAATGCAGGAGATTGTAGAATGTTCGGTATTGGTAATGATTCCCATTCATATCTGATAATGTCAGATACACCAACAGATGCTTGCATGGTGCAACTATCCGTCTCCATACGGCACCGGCGCATCATGGGCTGAATACCTATCTGCTTTTTCCATCCAATAGAAATAATGGTCAACATAAGAGTTGTTAGGATGAAATTCGCAGCACTGAAACCAGTATCAGGAGATGACACACTTCACTACTTATTAAACAAGGAGCTCCAACGATGTTCAAACACATCTACGAACCTCAAAATTTTTTATAGGGTGTCAGTGGATGCCAGTAATTCTACCGGTGGTAGCGATGATAGAAGGTGCAGAATAAACAGCGCATTGTTAGGTTACAGAAGCCACATATCTCAAAGATGTAAACCGCGTAATTGAACTCAAGTCGCAAGGCAAAACCCTTAGATTTTTCAAGTAGAATGTATTCTGTAAAAATGCCGATCAGTAATATTGTGGTGAGAGCTGTCTACTAGCCAAATTGGTAGACAGTAATTTACGTCAATGTTTACGTTCTCAAGATTTGTCGTGAGAAAATATGAACAAGACTGATTCAAAAACCGACCACAGCAGACTTTGCGTAGGCGGATACAGTTAACATATAGATGATCTGACATTCAAGAAACAGTCACAAAGAGATGAAAGATTAACTTTAAGCGAGAAACAATCAATCAGAAGACTGTGTTTGTTTGCTTAACTAAACTATAATAATGTACATGAAAATATAAAAATATGCTTTGATTTCCTTAATAAACGATCTGTTGCCTGGCCCTTGTCTTCTGTTGTTACAATATATCATCATCACCTTTCTCGCCGAGCAGTGTTAACTGACAAATATGATCAGACCGATCCATGCCATCAACACATGAAGTATTTGACTTTTGTTTTGAGCCGCATAGAGAAGCACAGATGGTCTCACTATGGTTATCGAAACAACAAGAGCTGGGAACTCATTGGTGATATGGTTCCCCAAATCACTCTTACCGGCATCGAGCCATTCACTTTTTACGATGTCCCACATGCATCATCATCATTCTCATCATTCCTGTAATCCCAGTTTATATTGTGGTTTCTTTGGATCCTTTTTCTATCCTCATGGATGTCCTTATAATAAAGCGTGGCCAGTTGAACTGTTCCATTTTTGGGCAAAGTTCTACGCCAAAGATTTGTTCACTTCCATATAAATATATATATATTTCAACTGATATAATAAAAAAACCCAACATACAGAGCGTTAAATAATGATACAGTATGAAGTATTTTCAACAATAATAAATATAAATCAAGTACAGTTGGCAATGAGCCAAGGCAACTATGTGAAGATTGTCCAATTCACTCACTCACTCACTCACTCACTCACTCACTCACTCACTCACTCACTCACTCACTCACTCACTCACTCACTCACTCACTCACTCACTCACTCACTCACTCACTCACTCACTCACTCACTCACTCACTCACTCACTCACTCACTCACTCACTCACTCACTCACTCACTCACTCACTCACTCACTCACTCACTCACTCACTCACTCACTCACTCACTCACTCACTCACTCACTCACTCACTCACTCACTCACTCACTCACTCACTCACTCACTCACTCACTCACTCACTCACTCACTCACTCACTCACTCACTCACTCACTCACTCACTCACTCACTCACTCACTCACTCACTCACTCACTCACTCACTCACTCACTCACTCACTCACTCACTCACTCACTCACTCACTCACTCACTCACTCACTCACTCACTCACTCACTCACTCACTCACTCACTCACTCACTCACTCACTCACTCACTCACGCATACACAGGGTACACACACACGAGTATCAACGACAAAATGAAAAGAATTTCTCCACTCACCATATCTGCAGCGAAAGACTTTGATCTTCATTTATTGAGATATGATATAGGGTGAGATCAACATATCGACATGGCCAACAAGTAGCCGTTAAACATAGTATATCAGGATATATACAACAATAATGTAATAAACTAAATTGTCCATAAATATTTGCCCATAAATGATAAAAGAAATCCGCAGGTAATAGATAGGATAGATGATTAGCAGCATAAGAAATAATTTGTTTAAATAAACTGAAAGACTGACGGCTTGAGATCATAAACTCTGGACAATCGAGATGATTTAAAATCTTGAGGTAGGAAAACAAGTAGAGAAAAGAAGAAAAAAAAGGGTATTATCATACTGTGAAAAAAATAATACGATTAAGATCTCAATGTAATTAGTCTAAGAAAATAACATTTACTGCGTAAGATGAACGGCATGTTAATACCCCACAGGTTTATGTAAATAGCAAACCTGTTTGTTGTAGACCTTAACGCCACATGGTAAGTTGGGATGTACAACTTATCAGGCCGACTTTACCTGACACTGTATTTCCGGGGTGTAGAGATACCGTAGAGGAAATACTTAGCCGCTATCACGCCTCTTATTCATTTGCGAGTGGTGCAACTTCAACCACAGAGATCACCACTATAGGGTAAATGACTTGCTACAGGATGGAGTTTCCTGGAGTTCTAGTGAGAAGTCGTGACCAGTGAGGTCCAATTAGAAGTCACGTGTGTGGATGGATGTCCCACCAACGACAATAGTTGGGGTCGCGCTAAAATCACGAATTGGTAGAAGTTAGAATTCATGGACTGGTCATTGAATCGGGTCCCAGTGGCTGAATGGTATACGAGCTTGCCTTGTAACCGGAAAGTCCTTGGTCCGAACCACTGGGGTTTGGATGCCAACTGCCAATGATTTCCAAAACTAGGATGAAACAGCAGCTGTCCAGTACTCCCTGGTTTTCAATGGTTCTCTAACTGATATCAATCCGTGATCAACTCGTAAAAAATCTAGACAAAGCTTCGTCCCCACCAGTGTGTGACTGGCTTGTTGTGATATGTAAACCCAAACAACAAGTAAAGGTAGAAGCCAACACTTGGACACTAAATCCATACACACACACACCTCAGTGTGTTGGTGGACCAGCTGTAGAATGTCCGTCACAACCACGCCACACATGGTGTTTGGAGTGCGATTCTTAGCCGATACACTCGTAAACCTCCCCTCACCGGTAGAAAGCCCAGGAAAGAGGGAAGGTTAGGCCAGAAACACCTTTCTGTAAAACACAACACTACCGACATTGAAGCTTTAAGACTAAAATTCGCCCTATATCCCTCACTCGAAATGCACAAAACTAGCACCTAATAATGAGTAAAACCCATATAGATAATACAGACGTAAACACAAAAAAGGGAAAAAGGAAAAAAAAGCATTATACATACCGCGGTTATTTGCAAATTGGGATTTAATTCAAGTAGAACAGTGAGAAAGTTTTCCACATTCCATGTAGACAACACTGGCGGATCCGCTTCATTTGTTGCATCTGTTTATGCAAGCAGCGTCGAAGGGAGAGAAAATACAACAGAACAATTGTTAAATTAAGAAAAACACTGAAAATTACTAAACAGTTTATTGAACGTAGAAAGTAGAGTGCACGACTGCATTTTAAGCATTGGAGGGGGAGGGGGTCGAGGGATTCTCTCACTGTCCACCCAACCCATAAAGTTATGGTTAGTGGGTTTTTAGCAAGTCGATTTCCAATCAGTGGGTCACAGGTGGCAAATCCCGCTCCGGCTACAGAGATTTGGGCAATGAGGTAGTATCACTAACTTTTACAGAATAAAGAGTGGTAATATCTCATTTTTACTGTTAGCCACCAGGACAATTATGTAGCATCACGTATATACACACTGACTGGTCAGCAGTTTACTTAGACTACCATCGACTCCTCCCTCCGCATGTAGTACTCTAGTGGGAGCATTGATTTTTTAAACTTAGGGGTAACTAATGTTATGTAAATCCAGAGAGCATCATTGAGCGAATTCCTAATCGATACAGTGCTTTAGAACCGAAAACCGACAAGTTAACAGAAGAAGTGTCGAAGTTAGTAAGTATTCATTGTAAGAATAGACTGACTGACTGGTTTGCAGCTGTAGGAGTTCCAGTTCCCACTCTCTCTCTCTTCCTCTACCACACACAAAGCAAGAGAAGACGGTAAACAGAGATTCAACAAAAGAGGAAGATAAGAAACACAAGTGTGAGTGAGGGAAAAACAATAAAATTTCATTGGATATGTCAATTCACAAAGGGTGGATACATCTTCGCCAGCCATTGACAATGAGAGTTTTGAGCCGTATCACCAGCCATATCTCCAACCTTCATTGGTTCTTACCATCCTGAGGACCCCAACCAGTCAGGAAGTCTACACCTCTCCCTAAGTGGCAACTGGCTTAACCTAACTGTTATGGATTTCGTTGACTGATGAAGCCATGTTTTAGTTTGATCACCACTAGCTCTTTTCCTCCAACCTGATCCATTCTATGTCAGCTAACATTGCTTTTTGAGCGACTGGGTAGTAGTGCTATCGATCACCAGAGCCCACATACATATTTTTTTAATTAATTAATTTTTTATTTATTATAGCTTGATTCCACACCGTATTTTCAGTACAAGTATGGAATTTTCAGCATGGATATCGGTAGCCCAAATTTCAGGCCGACCATAGATATCGGGTGTGCACCGGCAGGGGATCGAACCCCGGACCATGTGCATGGTCGGCGAGAGTCCTAACCACTGTGCCACCGACGCTGTGTGTCTCATAGCTAGGAACATGCAAGACCTGATCTCAGACCCAACCAGTTGCTCGGTACCCCAGGCATTATTCATCAAGAGGAAGATTATGGTGTGCCGGAACGTCCCGTTTTCGAAACCCAGTTGATGTGTAGGGCTGAAGAGTCCCAAGCTAGGGCGAAACAGCTGTGAACCGTACTCCTAACTGGTTTCCAATGGTTTCCTAACTGACATTAATCCATGATTCAACTTGAAGCAAAATCATATTTGGATATCACTCGGTATTTTTCTTCAATGATTGTCACATCATGGCTTGAATAGAAAGAGAATTAATGATAAACAATTTAGTTTAGCATCTTATTCTACTTCTTCTTATTACTTACTCATATCACTTACAGCTACTACTCAGATGATAAGGATTTATGACAATTTGTATCATATGACATTGATTTATGTATTTCTTATTGAAGAAGAAAGAAGACTTCCTTCATCAACACTACACTTACTACTACTACTACTCCCTGTTGTGGTGGTGTAAATCAAAAACACTAATTATTGATCGATTGATTGATTGATTACTGTTGGTGTATTGTGATATAATGTAAGATAAGAGAGAATAGGGAGATAGCAAGAATAACACACAAATAAAGACAGGAGGAGGAGGAAACACAGAATTTGTTTTAAATAAAGTTGAGTGTATGGAGTATATATAAGCCGTTTGACGAATTGTATATATACAATAACAGGAGTGTAATGTACACCATTCTTATCAGAGGTTGCGGGTGTATGTAAGGGGGGGGAGGAGGAGAGGACGCTCAATATGCCAAGCGAATGAACCTGTGTTTGACGAGTGAGATTTACCAACAATATCAGTGTAAAAACAATTGTAATCAACAAATCGTTTTGAAAATCCCTCCTCCTCAACGATCTATTCATGTTATATGATATACTTATTTAGACGTTTCAACTGACTTTGTAATGATTATACGCTTTTCTCCCAACCCAGACTGTGTATCATTAATTTAACAATTGCATATCGCATTCACACTTGAAGAAATAACCAGAAAGCAAGCGAGAGAAAAAAACGGACAAACAAACACCGCTTACCCGACTGTCGATTATCTCCATCGGAAACTGTAGGATCGACTTTCCAACTATTCCCTTGTGATGATAGTGAATTACTCCTACTAGGCGTATTCAACTGTCCATCAGCTGTACGCAAGAATAAACATAAACATTTTGCTACTGCAATGGCAGACAACTCGTCCGGTTCAAAATCATTCAACACGGAACGTATCGACTCCAACCTGGGCAGGATAAACAAACAAGTTAAGAAGAATAGAAAGAAAGATGGAATACACAAATATATTTCAACTCATTCATAGAGGTAAAAAAGGGTGATTTTTAAGCCGAGCTGTATTAGTAAAATTCGGGTTTGTTAGGAGTACCTCACTAGTGTGCAGTGTTGCTTGAAACAGAGGCCTAAACATATACCACCTGGTTGCTAAAACTTTGGTAAATGGGACGGGACTCGAACCTAGGACACGCCTCCACGTCATTTGGTTTTGTAGTGGAATAATTTTTTGAAAAATCCCTGCCTGAAAGATCTATTCACGATATTGACACTTATTTGGATACTTATAACTAACTTTGTAATTATTGCCGCTTTTTCTCCTAGACTGTATATATATCAATGTCCTAAAATTTGCCCGCCACCTATCTGTTGAGTTTACTCTTGTCTAATCTCTAATTTAAATGTTTCTCTTTGCTATTGCGTGATGGTGTCGCTAACATGTTATGTCATCATTGTGAATTTGTTTGCATGAAGTTAATTAAGCTTGAGAAAACAGAAAGATTGAGCGAAGAAATATTTACTTTTCAATTAGATCCTCTTCTATGGCTCTACTCTAATATATATAGCATTTTTTACAATACACAACAATTTACCAAACACGTGGCGATACGTTTGTTAACAATAATTAACCAGTGTCAAAATGTCAATAGGTAGATAATTAAGGAAGAAAATTAATACACACAATTAAAAGGTAGAAATGGATAGAATGAATTAATTTTACAAGAATAACACGTGATTAAAGAAGAAGTCAAAATAAAAATAAAAATAATTTGGACAATTATAATTTAATAGGGGGAGGGGGGCGACGTAGTCCTGTCTTGTAACGATGGCCACGGTAAGCAAAGTGGCTGTACAAATTTCTTCTGTACACATAGGCTTGGTTTCTTCTGGTGGATTCCAATTGCTTCAGCTGTCTGTAAAAGACGAAATCTTAGAGCAAAGTTAAGATTAGTTGGAATACGATAAATAATTTTAAATGCAGTATTCACATCGACCTTGTGCTCAGTATCAACAAGGTGTGCTAAAATAGAACTACGGATAGATTTTACTTGTCCCTTGCTTAACCACGCTGGATGATGTTCAGAAATACGACGATGAAACTGCCTAATTGTACGCCCAATGTAGCTGGCTCCGCAGCTGCAGTCAAATTGGTAGACACACATAGAAGAGGCAAATTTAGGTAGTTTGTCCTTATTTCTCGAACATAGAATAGGGGTGGTTTTGAAGAGACAACGTACTTCTGCTGCATAATAAGCTCTTTTAACCGCATTCTTTAAGCGCTGTGTTATGATTTCACTGATGTTGTCACCGAGGAACTGCAATTTTATGAACATTGGCTTTTTTGAAACTGTAGCGATACTGACCCTTTTTGGTGCTGAATTCATATTCTTCTCAATAAATTTATCTGGATAACCATTTTTTCTAAGTAATTCTTTAATAATCTTAAGCTCCTCATTGAGGCAGTCGTCTGAACATATTAACTCAGCTCTATGAACCAAACACTTTACCAGGTTACGTTTATATTTCAAAGGTACAAAACTCAAAAAATGAGTGTACTGACCTGTTGTTGTAGGTTTCCTATACACACTCCTTCTTAGCGTGCCATCATCTTTCCTTGCCATGAAGACGTCTAGGAATGAGATACTGTCATTACTTTCTTTCTCCATGGTAAAGTTTATTGCTGAATGTGCATCATTAAACTTGTCGAGGATATTCATTGCATCATTCTCATCCTTCATAACCACAAATGTATCATCCATATATCGACAGTAGAAATCCATGTCATTAATTACTCCTTTCAGTGGTCCATTCTCTAATTTAGCGAGGAAAAAATCAGCTAGGATTGGACCTAATGGGGAACCCATAGCTACACCATCAATTTGCCTGTAATATTCCTTATTGAATAAGAAATGAACATTCATTGTACATCTTAAAATAAGTTCCTTCAAGGTGGATATAGAAATCCCGATGTCTATGTTTCGTGTGGTAATCTCCTCACATATAAAATCCACTGTCTCCATTAACGGTACATTGGTGAACAAGGAGGATACATCAAAAGATACCATAAACTTGTCCCTCACATTAAGATCTCTTATTTTGTCAACAAATTCAAAACTACCATTTACGCTATGTTTTACCAATTCATTATGCAGAGGCTTTAGAAGCTTCACTAGCCATTTTGCTATTGCATGATATGGGGAATTACACATGTCCAATACTGGTCGAAGCGGCAAACCAATTTTGTGCACTTTTGGTAGTCCATATAATCTTGGTGTAACCGTACCAGTAGGCTTTAAAGATTCATATAGACCGTCTATGATACTACTTTGTTGTTTAAGTCTTTTTAGTGACTCAATTAGTTGTTTCTCCACTTTTTCTGTCGGATCGACGGAAGATGTAATTTTTTGAAATTTTCGATGATCATTGAGTATTCCATTCATCTTATCTATGTATTCAGTTTTATTCATTATTACCACTTCAGAGCCTTTA